ACCGCCACTCGAAACCAGGTGGAATGCTCATGTAAATATCTTCCTCCAAGTTATCATGTAAAAATGCATTCTTCACATCATATTGCTGTAACTCCCAATCAAAGTGGACCACCAATGACAACAAAATTCACACTCGTATTTATCTTTGCTATTGGAGCAAACATCTCTTGATAATCGACCCCATATGTTTGAGTATAACCCTTGGCAACCGATCCGGCCTTGTATCGTTCTAAAGACCCATCCGCTTTAAGTTTCACTCGCAAACACCCATTTACAGATCGATTGTTTTCTTCCCTTGAGGTAGAAACACCAATTCCCAAGTATCATTCTTTTCCGGTGCTTCCATCTTTGCGGTCATAGCAAGTCTCCATTCTTCTTTAGATAAAGCTTCGGACAAAGAGTTAGGAATAGCAATTGAATTTAATGTGGACGAGATAGCTACGGTGATTTTGAGAAAAATTAGTGAAAGACACAAAATTGGCCGAGTGGGTATAAAGGTGTTTTTGTGCGGTTGCGGGTTCCTTTCCTTAAGGCTATAGGTTTGTCAAGATCGAGTCTCGGGTTGTGTAGAATTAGACGAGGGAGAAAAAATGTTAGAAATTATTACCTCGGGTTCGTAACTCGGTACAAGTGATTGATCTTGTTGTAGAGTAGGAATGACATCTTTTTTCCTTGTATACACCTTATCAAACCGAAGCCGATCAATCAATCTACCATCGACTTCGTTTCTTCGCGGGCAAGAGAATGGTGGATTGGTAAACATGATCATCAAGAGGTCGTTCATGAGGCGCTACATCTCTTGATGAAGAAATATCAAGAGATAGATCAATATCGGAATCGACAATTGTAGGAAGCTCTTTCGGAATGTAAGGTGTAGAAAAATATGGTTTATTTTCAACAAAAGTGATATCGAGCTGAGACATAGAGCTTCTAAGTAGGTGGATGATAACACTTGTATCCTTTTTGAGTGACCGAATACCCCAAAAAAATGCATTTAAGGGCTCTAGGATCTAACTTTCCCCGAGTGGTATTATGGACATGAACAAAGGATGTACACTTAAAAATACGAGGGGTAAGGCTAAAGAAGGACCGAACATCGGGAAAGAATCGAGATAAAATTTCCGAGTGGACTTTTGAAATCTAAGACTTTAGAGGGCATCCTATTTATGACATAGGCCGATGTTAAAGCCGCCTCCCTCCAAAAAGTTTTAGGAACATTCGTTGGAACAAAAACCCCCTAGTACATTCAAGAAGATGACGGTTTTTACGTTCGGCGACTCCATTTTGTTGTGGAGTGATGACTCGGGATGACTCGTGAATAATACCCTCTTTTTGACAATAGGAAGACAAAGTCCGATTAAAGGAGTCATGAGCATTATCTAACAGGATACGTTTGATTGGTACCCTAAATTGATTTTTTATCATAGAGATAAAGGTGGGAACAATATGATCGACATCGGACTTTTGTTTAAAAAGATAAACCCGGGAAGTTCTAGTGCAATCATCAATAAAAGTAATAAGCCATTTTGATCCGGTAATGTTTTGGATGGACGAAGGGCCCTAAATGTCACTATGAATTAAAGAAAAAGGAAAACTTGATTTTTTATTGCTTATTGGAAACGGTACACGTGTGTGTTTGGCAAATTCACAAATGTCACACTCGAAAAACTTTAACATCGACTTCCTTAAACAAGTCTTGGAACATTATTTTTAAGGTAAAAAACGACAAATGACCTAGGCACCTATGATGCAATCAAATGGTATCTTTATTTGATCGTGAAAAACATGAGACTCGGAGAAGATAAATTAATCGAGCTCGCCGACTTGGTGTACTCGAAGTAGTAAAGGCCATTATGCTCTTTAGCAAGTTCAATCTTCTTCCCCGACTCCCGATCCCGAAATTCACAACAACCAACGAAAAAGGTAATATGACAATTCAAGTCTTGGATAAGTTTACGAACAAAAATAAGATTGGTGGATAATCGAGGAACATGAAGAACATTTTTTAGCATAATGTTTTTACCAATTTGAATATCTTCAATACCGACTACTATGGTTGTTGTATCATCGACTACGGTTATTTTCCGACTACTCGGGACAAGGTGTATAGGTTTTGAAAGAATTGGATGCGTGGGTCATATGGTCCGTAGCACTCGCGTCTAAAATCCATGCATTCCGAAACTTATTATCCAAAACATTTGATCCAAAGGAGAGGGAGTTTTACCTAAGAGCGTTAATGAACACAAACCTTGAGATTGGTTAGGAGGTGTAGTAGGTTTTTCCATGGATCCTCACTTGATGGAATTGACGTCACGGATGAATTCGGAGCTTTGGTCTCCGAAGATTGTGTGTCGGCCATTGTAGGGGGCAAAACGTAATACATAAAAAAGTAGGAGATAAGTGCAACAATGAAGGCTGCGATTTTAACAATTGTCCCTAGAGAAACCCTAGGGCTCGATACCAAGAAGAAAATAATATTTGGGAAAATAATCGGTATCTTTCTTTACACAAATATATATATATATATATATATATATATATATGGGAGAGAGAGAGAGAGTTCCTAAAGAATAGGAAAATAGAATAGGAAAGAATATATAAAATATTTCCTATCAATTATATCTCGATATTTCCTACGTAAACTTACCCGAATATGGCAAAGAACAAGTACCCGAAGGTTTTCCAAGGTTGTTGATAAGAGATCTCAACCTCTCAATCTCCTCTTGATTAAGACTATTTGTCTCCCGAGGTGATGGTTCACTTGGTTGAACTCGCAGTAACATGAGCTTGCCCATTGCCCCTTGGTTGCTCCTTTTTCTGTCCCCATTCTCTACTTGGAGGCTTTCCATGAAGCTTCCAACACTTTTCACGATTGTTGTGTGCCTTCTTGCAATAGGTGCACCATAGGTTGTCACGACTTTGAGCCTTTGATTGACTAGGCTGTCCACCTTCAAGAAATTGTGCTTTTTCTGCTTTTATGGCAGATTCGTTACCATCACTTGCCACCATTGCTGAGCTATCCATCGCTTGTGATTCAAGCATCAAACCTCTCCTACTTTCTTCACTTCGGATTAGAGCTACCACTTCATTAAACCATGGAACCTATGGCTTGCTAAGAATATACACCCTCACTTGATCAAATTCTGGAGTAAGACCAACAAGAAAATCGTAAACTCTATCTTGCTCAATAAATTTTTTTCGAATAGTTGCATCGGCAGGACATTTAGTTTTTATTACCCGATAATGATCAAGTTCTTGCCACAAGGGTTTTAACCGATTAGCATACTCGTAATAGATTTACTTCCTTGTTTTTCAGCCATAGTCTTCACTTTGACCTCATAAGCTTAGGCTATGTCATTAGCTTTAGAGAAGGTCCGTTGTATTGCCTTCCAAATCTCCTTGGCAGTAGCCAAGAACATACATATGTCACTAATCTCAAGGGTCATAGATCCTTACAACCACGCCATAATCATGGAATCCTCTTCATCCCATGCTTCAAACCGAGGATCACCCGGTTTAGGTCCCGTACCGCAAGGTGGATGATCTTCCCTCTTCCTTTCAGCATTGTAAGAACAAGTTGGGACCACTTGAGGTAATTTCTTCCATTCAATCTGTATGCGACTCGAATGCTTTGGAGTTCCCTGTGCTGTTGAGATCGAACAGACCTCCTCCGATTGGGTTGTAAATGTCGTTTCTTCGTCCTTTGACATATCCCTTGGTTTCTAAAAACTATGAAATGAATGTCTTTTGTGTGTAACAAAAACACCAGCAATGAAGGCTGGTAACAATTCAGTAACAAAAAACCACCAGCAAAGTAGGCTGGTACCAATGAAGGTTGGTTAAAAAAACACCAACAATGAAGGCCGGTAACAATTCAGGTTTCTGTCCTAGAAAGAACTAGGCTTTGATACCATGTTGAATTTTAGAGAAGAGAAAGAAGGAAAACACTAGGGTTAACATGGTTCGTTCATAAGACCTACATCCACAAGAGGAGATCTTTCTTTATTTTATTGTGTGTCCGTTATGTTTACAATGGAGGAGGACTCTTACTTTTATAGGGGACTAAATACACCAGAATAAGAAGGAAATAATAGGGCAGAAAATCAGGAAGATAATAGGACAGAAATCAAGCTCGATTTTCTATGATTACAAGACCTTCCTAAAATAGCAAAGAATATTCCCCACATATTATGGTTTCCCACAAAAATTGTGCATTTCCATGGTTTGTCACCTCTTTGAATATAAGGCCAGATTGCTTGTAAGTATTGTGATATAATGGTTTGGTGGGTGGGCATCTTGCTTTGTGAATGCCATCCAGTGGATAATATTTGTCAATTTAAGGTTTCTAATAGGTTTGAGGCATCAAGTAATTAGAAAATTCTGAATGTTATCATTTACATGTGTAGAAGTGGCCAGATAAGTAGCTTGTGAATTTCAATTATAGTTTAGTTGGAGGAGCGAAGGACAATGATTAGCATTGAAGAAAAAATGGTTGCCATTTTAAAATCATTTTCTGAAAGTCATAATTTCTACATCAGGATAGTGATTAGTAAATGAGATGGTTTTCCAGTTTAAAATAGTTATCTTGTTGTCATAGTGCTGATATAGAAATTGAGTTTTGTTTCCCTTTGCACCTCTTCTAAAGGAAATTTGGACTGTGATTTATCCTTTGTTCTTTTTTAATGGTTTTCTGGGTTTAGAAGCAGGTGCCGTTAGACTTCAATGGAGGCAGTTTCTTGGTTAAGGGATTATTACACTATTGCATGGATATTTGGAAAAACAAAGCTGGGTTATCATCCTGTTTTACATTTATGTTAAATTTTGAAATTTGGGTAGAATTTCAAATACTTTGCTGGCCAACCATACAGGCTTGTTAAAATCGTATTCTTTCAGAACGATGCTCATTGATAGTTTTTTGTTTGTATTAATCACAGAATATCAATACATTTTTATGCTCATATTTTTATTTGATTTTCCTGCATCCCTGCAGTGCTGGAGGAATGGCATTGTCAAGTTTAGTGCCTCAAACTGTGAGCTCAATATCTTTGCTAGCTAAAAGTACGATCACTGGGTTACAGATCTGGTCGTTGCATGGTCTTCTTTTGACTATTGAAGCTTCTGGTTTCTCATATGTATATCATGTTCAGGTATTTGAATTTGTATTCACTTTATACTGTTCAGAAGGTGGGAAAATTGTATCCATGGCATTCAATCTATTTACTTCCAAGATGGTTTTCCATTGATTCTGTTATATTCTTTTCAGTCACGTTATATTACTTCCCTTATCTTTGTCTAAAAGAAAGATTGATCTTGGTAGCTGAAACATGTGTGGATGCATGAGAATCTGCACCTCTTTTGATATCTTTCCTTGTTGCTGATTTGATAACTTTGATCACATAAAAAAAGGTTTAGGAGTGTATTGTGCCTTGCATCAATAGTCAAATAAACTTGCTCAGTACACCTTTTTGAAGTTGAACTTGTCTAGCATGGAGTTCTTGACCAATCTTCAATCCGTTGCTTTTATTGCTAATTGTGGTGTACATACAAAAATATAAGACAATTTCAAGTTCCGGTAAATTGTCCTGTAATGTATTGTATGAAATGTAATGTTAGGCAATGTTTGTTATGTTTCTCAATGAAAATACAATATAACTTTTTGGCTAGTTATCTTGCTTGATTATTTGGTCACCAAATAAGTCAACTGTGGCTATGCATATCTAATCATTTATGTTGATTTGTTGATGTTCTGTCCTTGCTCTTCTTTCCTTTTACCTTCTGTATACAGGCAACACTTGGGCTTGCTTTGGACATTCTTCTGTCTGAGGAGAATGGATTGGTTGACTTCCAGCAAGGAGTGGGCAGCCTCATAAATGCTATTGTTGCAGTTCTTGGTCCTGAACTTGCCCCTGGAAGCATTTTCTTTTCACGCTGCAAGGTATCGTCTTCACAAGTGCTGAACTTCTGAATTATTTTTTAAGACTGGTTTTCATTTTAATTACCTAACAATTATCTTTACTGTCTTTTACTTGTTTGGCATTACATGTCAATCAAAACTATGTATCTACTTCGGCTGAAATGAAATGTCTTTTGTCAATTTTTGGTACTTTGTGCTTTTCATTGTTTTTTTTTTTTTTTTTTAACAGTATTTCATAAAGTCGATTATATTGATCTAATGATTTCTATATGCAGTCTGTAATAGCAGAGATAAGCTCCCAGCAAGAAACGGCAACATTGCTAGAGTATGCTGGCAAATACTTGTTTCCTTTTTGTTTTGTTTTGTTGTGTTTTTTTTTGTTTTTCCCTGCAACTATGGTTGTTGGGGTCTTGTTGAAAACAATAAGATTTAAATATATATATATATATATATTATTCTTTTGGTTTCTATCTGTTGGAAGATTTTAACTAATAGTTGCATCAATCTGGCAGGAGTGTTCGTTTTACACAACAACTTGTTCTTTTTGCTCCACAAGCTGTTTCTGTGCACTCTCATGTGCAAACTCTCCTCTCCACCGTGTCAGCTGGACAGGTTTTGCTCCAATCTACTTCTTTGAAAAAGAAAAGTTGTTTGTTATCTTTTCTTTAAATAATACAAATTGGTTTCATTGGAAGCAGCCAACCCTAAGGCATCTTGCTGTCTCCACCCTACGGCATCTCATTGAAAAGGATCCAGTGAGTAGTTATAGAATTTCTTTGTTTTATATTTGCCAACCAACAAACCTCATCCCAATATGTCCAATCCTCGTGCTTAAAATTTCCTTGGCAGGTTTCTATCATTGATGAGCAAATAGAAGATAACTTGTTTCACATGCTGAACGAGGAAACCGATTCTGAGTAAGTCAACAATATTCTTTTTAACTGTGATGTTTGATCAGTTCTTAGGTTGCAGTATCGGGAATGGTTATCGCTGCAATGTTAAATTTATGTCCTCATATCATTTGATGTGTACATTAGAATTGCAAAGTTGCTATTCGTTTCCAATGAACTTTGTATATCTTTTTTTGCTTGTAAAGTGAAATTCTTTCCTGTGCCTGTGCTAAAGTGTCCTATCATATCTGATTTGGGAGAGCAAGCATTTTCACTCTTCCATCCTCAAATCAATCAGTAGTAATTTAGCGACATCGTTCATCAAGTAGTGATTTTTAAGACTCTTCTTGCTGGAAGAGGCTGAATGCTACTAAAGTTGTCTTGTGCAACGATTGGTGGTTGCAAAAAAAAATGTGCATGAGTTCTGAGAACTTATTATCATTTTATAAGTGTCTTGTACAATTTGTTGAGTTACAAGGTTCTACAAACTTTAGAATTTAATTCGGATCAGTTTTCTTGGCTGTCTTACTTGCCATTTTTGTAGTCACCATTATTCTTACCCAGTATGCTGGGGTAATATAAAGGTGGTTTACTTTCTATTGAGTCCTTTCAAGGAACATATGGGTGGTCAATTGTGTCTGCTGCTCTTGCTTGTATCAATTATGATAGACATCTCAAGCTTTTTTTGAATGTTATAGCAGTGACTAGAATATCATTAGAAATCACTTTTTGCAAATGATGCTTCACAATAGTTATCCCGTGTACGCAAGAATGCATCAAAGCAGACCTTTTCTGTAACATTTGTATGGCAGTTCTTTCCTTTGACTTTTGGTCTTTAAATTGCTTTGATTCTTGTAGGATTGGGAGCCTGGTACGGGCCACAATTCTGCGATTGCTCCTTGCTTTGTGCCCTTCACGTCCATCTCACTGGATATTAATCTGTCGTAACATGGTAAGTTCCTGGGAAGCTACCTCTTAGAAGATCAGATTTTTTTCTCTAGACCAAGTATAGAATGCTTTGCAAAGAATGCCAGTGAGTGTCATAAACCTTTTGCTAATAAGATTTGTTGAATCTTTACTATTATATCAAGCCAAACCCTGGTTTTTCTTCATTGAGCTGCATTTTGAACTTGGGTTACCAAAGTATGATTTTGATAGTAGTAGACATGTTTCATCTGGAGAATGAAGCAAGGTACAGTTTTACATGATATCTATGGTTTTAGGTGACTACTCTTATCCATGATAGTTCTTAACTTTTCTTGGCAACAAACTAGCCCTCCAGGCTCTTGTTGTTTGGCTGGCCAAGTCTCCCAAAGTTTCAGCTAATGCTCTTTAAAAAGCATCTGAAGCAGAATAGCATAAAGAAGCAGATGGGACCAATTTATCCTAGATATTTATATGGAATCTGATCTTGAAGTATTCTAGCATTCCTCTCTATCGACAAGCTACAAGCTAAATTACTGTAAAAAGCATGTCTTCAAAGAGCTTTACAATCCCATGTACTTCCAGCAACAGAATAATGTAAGGATATCGGTCTTTCACTGATTGTGGGAGCACCCGATGCTTGTTTTAGGAGAGTTGTCTTCATGGCATCCTCACCTGCAATTGGTCACTAGTGTCTATCCTATTGAGAAACCCTGATCAAACAGAAAAGCTTGATTTCCAAATGAGATGGAACTATATAGAAGGAGATGTATATATGGAAAAGAGGAGACATTCTAGGCATAACCTAAAACTAGAATTTCCAAACCACTTAGAGATCATCCCCCTTTATCAGTCTACATAAAGAGTAAAATGAATTCAGAACAAGAAATAATCTCCAACAAATTCTCCTCAAAGAAAACATGACAACCATTACCAATCTTATGTTTTATGGACAGAAATAACAAACACCTATGAAACAGCTTGCAGGGACTTGCTTGAGCAACAATAAATCCAGCCTTAGTTTGGTCTCTAATTAGCAACTAATGTTGTGGAGCTTTGAACCTTTGGACACTGGAAGAATTGGGTCACTGACTAGAGAATTTCTTTGGCCTTGGCCATGCTAATTGAGAATCTTTTACATATTTTCCAGGTACTTGCTACATCAGGAAGGCGAGATGCTGGAAATGATTCTCTAAATGGTCCAGAGAATGAATCAGGAATGGACTTTGGAGAAGATGATGAAAATATGGTTAGTAGCTCTAAAGGCATGCCAGTGCAAGGCTATGCATTTGGAGCTCACATGATCAATCATAATAGAGATAAACACCTCAGATACCGAACTAGAGTTTTTGCTGCCGAGTATGACCTTATTTATCCTCTCTACCAATCATATTTCCTTAACTTATAATGTGTGTGTGTGTGTGTGTATTCATTAAGTTGTTTTTGCTCAACAAAAACAAAACAGAACAAGTTGTCCATCTTGTTTTACTTCTTTCCAATATTATCTGAATCATGTTTAGAGGTTCTCACTATCATTGCACCTTTCATTATGTACTTCATTTTCACGATCACCATCTATAAATTTTATGGCACAATGAATGCCATAAGTTTCTGGCTTCAAATTGAGACCCAAGTCTTAGTAAATAATGTGGAAGTCTAACTTACTCTCATACTCACTTTGATGAGAATATTGTCAAGTGATTGAGTGATTTTATTGTAAATGGTTAATAAATGCACCAAAAAAGGCTGCAAATTTAAGTTATTGGATTTAAAGAATACTTGCTTCAACAAAATTAGTTTGTACTTGGTCAAGCTAATATTGCAACTTGAAGTACAAAGGAGTTCACTCGTATGAGCAGCTGTATGCCTGTTGCCGTGTGTAAACCTTGTGTCACTTGAACCTAAAATCTTCTCTTGCCTTTGAAAGCATTGGTCACAATTTGTTTGAGATTCAATTTTCCTATTTAACTTATTTCCAACATCATAGTAATTTAATTAATTAATTTGGTGAAAACTAGGTGTTTGGGTCATTTGCCTATAGCCGTTGGTAAGAATCCTGCACATTTTGACCTCTCTTTGGCAAGGAAACAAGCTGCTAATGGGGAAATCTCAGGAGACTGGCTAGTCCTCCATGTGCAAGAGCTCATTTCACTGGCTTATCAGGTGTGGATATAATGTTAGTGTTGGACTGCTGTATTAGTTCGGTAGATGTTATAATTTATTTTAAATACAGATTAAAATTGACATTGTTGTGATCTTTCCTCTGTCATAGATAAGCACGATACAGTTTGAAAACATGCGGCCTATTGGTGTGGGACTTCTAACTGCAATTCTTGACAAGGTAAATATGGGTGAGGAACACTTTAGAAAAAATTTAGTTATTTATTTCCACTTAGTTTACTAATTAAATTCCAGTTAGATACTTTGTCCTCTTCCTTTTTGGAGAATGGTGGTGGCATTTATAATGCATATATTGAGTTGTAATTTCCCTCCTTTTGCTTCCCTAGTTGGATAAGCGTACATCATGTACTTCTAAACTTGGATTTCAATTGCACTTTGTTTCTTCATGTTAGAGAATGTTTCGTATTCACTTTGAGTTTCTTGGCAGTTCTACCACTTAAAATAAGAAATGATGATGTTAGGACTTCTGCTATGAACCTAGGTAGGTTTACTACTGGTTTTGGGCTAGGACCACCATACCAACTGATGCGTTACAGGTTCTACCAAATATGTATGCAAAGTCAGTCTCTATATATGTGGACTTCAAGGAAGTTTGAATCTAAATTGAGTTGTATTTTATCGAAATCCAATTGTCTATACATGGGTCCTCTAAATGGTCAGGAAGCAACGTCTTATGTTGGAGGCGTATTGAGGATAAAAAAGGGAAAATTGAAGTTAAGTTTGATGCTTGTTGTGGAGGAATGTATGATATGTGGGGGTTCCTCCAAAGCCTCCTTTGCCCTCTGAACTGTGGTTATTTCTTGTACTTGAAATCTCACAATTGGCAGTGGTTTATTTAAGTTAATGTCACATGTGGAGGAGATAAGAAAATAATGGATCTTGTTTTGTTGTGCAACTGTCAGAGAGATATGATGGATGGTACTTGTTAGCTGTTACATGTCCTTGTGTTTATAACTTAGTTGTGGCATTTTGTGTAGTTAATGTCTCTGCCTTACTTTGTTGTTGCATCTTTTTTCTCTCCACATTCTCTGTTCTGTACATAAAAGTTTTCCCTTTTAATTTGTTTCACTTTTATCTTCTTGGGATACAGTTTGAAAAATCCCCCGACCCAGAGCTTCCTGGACATCTTCTACTGGAACAATACCAGGTATGTTATTTGCTTAGTTATTAAATTATGTTAGTACATTGATCTGGCTAATAGTCTGGCTCCCCAGTACTAGTTCAACCACTGTACTTAATTGATAAAACACACATATTGGAACAATTTTTCACTGTTAATTCATTTATATTATTTGTTTAGTAAAGTTTGAATTTAATAGTCTGGGACGAACAAAGATACACTGTTTATTGATTTGTTTTTCTCTGAATGATACTACATTCATCCATGCACATATGAATTATTTATGCATCTCTGTTGATTAATTTAGGTTATTTGATATCTAGGCCCAGCTAGTATCAGCCGTTCGCACAGCATTAGATGCATCTTCTGGTCCTATTCTTCTTGAGGCAGGGCTTCAGCTGGCCACTAAGGTTCAGACTTAACATATGGAATTACTTTTTTTTTCTTAAGAGTAGTTGAAGTGCTGTATGTATAAGAAGATGAATTGACATTTTGTATTTTAGATAATGACTAGTGGAGTACTGGGCGGTGATCAAGCTGCAGTTAAACGCATATTTTCATTAATTTCTCGGCCACTGAATGACTTCAAAGATGTTTATTATCCTTCGTTTGCAGAATGGGTCTCATGCAAGGTATAACTAGTGATTGTTGCTTCAGTAAGAGAACAAAGTTACTATTCATGTCCTGCATATTTTTTATTTTATTAGGATGCAGTGATTTTACTAATTAATTTTGAGATGTAATAGATCAAGATAAGACTTCTGGCTGCTCATGCCTCCCTCAAATGTTACACATTCTCATTTTTGAGGAGACACCACAGTGGGGTTCCGGATGAGTACCTAGCATTGTTACCATTGTTTTCTAAGAGTTCAAGTATTCTGGGGAAGTACTGGATTGGGGTTCTCAAGGACTACAGTTATATTTGCTTATGCCTGGATGCCAAGAAAAATGTAAGCATAATAAGTCTGCTAGCTTTATGCTATTGATTGCTTTCTTGTTTGGTGTCATGTGTGTTTATAAAGGAAATGTTTTAAGTAATGCTGTTCTTTCTGTACAGTGGAATCCATTCCTTGATGGAATTCAATCACCTCTTGTTTCATCGAAAGTGCAGCCTAGTTTAGAAGAATCCTGGCCAGTGATTCTGCAAGCACTTGCATTAGATGCAGTCCCTGTAAATACCTATGGGAATTCTGACGCAACAGATGAAAATTCATCAAATAATAGTTTAATATCTGGATATAGCATGGTTGAACTCAAGTTGGAAGATTATCGATTTCTATGGGGGTTTGCCCTGCTTGTTCTATTTCAGCGACAACATCCAGCCCCCTGTAGACAAATAATACCACTAAGTTCTGAAGTAAGATATGGTGGGGACTCACCAACTGAAGAAACAAATACTACAGCTTTGAAGCAATATGAGATTGTTCTACCAGTTCTCCAGTTTCTCTTGACAGAAAGATTTTTTGCTGAAGAATTTCTTACTTTGGATAGTTGCCGAGAATTGCTGCAGGTTGTGACCTTTGTCTTTGCCCTTTCCTCTAACAACATGTGTAAAAACTTAACTTTGCTTCATGGATTTATTGTCTTTCATGTTTCTAGACTTGCTAGAAAGAACTTGTGATGTCATTCACTTGGTCATAACACTATAAACTCTAGTGCTGCTTGTGTTTCTAAAAGCCATACTGGAAAGGAAACAAGAATGAACACAGTACCTTCTGTGCTTGTAGCAGACATATTTTCTTGATGCTTGCATTGGATGTCAATTCTATTTTTCCACATTAAATTCTGAGTGAAAAATTTTCAAGCATGTCCATGTCATGTCAAGGAAGACGGGCATGATAGATCACTCATAAGGAAGACTCAATTTTTCATGTCAAAAGAAAAAATAAAACTGTTATACTTCAACTTTCAAAAGACTGAATTCACATGCTACATTGCAAGAAATACATAGTATGATGAACACGTGATTTGTGAAATAAATTGGTCTCTTTTAATATCTTTTAGCTTCCATGCACTATTATGTGAATCTGCTCGTGAGTGGCTTTTAACTTCTTATGATCCTGAGATGATTGTCTTCTCATGCTCAATATTGATGGCCATGTCCTACTTGTTTAAACCCTTTTTATCATACTGAGTCGATGCAGGTTTTCTGCTACTCCATTTACATGGATGATTCTTGGAATACTCTTGCAATATCAGTTCTATTGCAGGTAAGTTTCACAAGTTTCTTTTTTTCCAAATAATTTACGTTTCTTTTGTGAAAGTTCCTCTTTACCAACTTAAATCAAGCTTCTTTTCTGAACTTGTATGATTATTAGAATCATTACACCATTTTTGCATCTTGTTCAGTTAAGTTGTAACTTCTATCAAATCAGTGACCAATAATTGCACGCATGGCACCCTAACTACTACAACTTTAACTGAAGCATTACAGATGATTTCACATTGTTGATGTCCTACTACTAATTATTCAAGTCTTGATGGCTGTGTGCTGCATCGCACCATTTCCTTTTAGTTATGTGTTTATAAGCGCCATTTGCAGATAAAGGAAATAGTTCTTTTAGCATGTTGATTGGAAGATTAATGATGGATTCTGATTAAATTAATTACTTTTCCAGGATTGACCAGACTTTCATTTGTGTATTTACGAATTTTTAAATCAATTTAGCAGCAAAAATGATGAGTTTTAGTTTGATGTCTGTATTGGATGTTTGCTTTCTTTTGAGTTGAATCTAATTTATTTTTCTGGAACAGGTTGTGCAGAATTGTCCTTCAGATTTTCTTGAATCAGAAGCTTTAGGTTATCAGGCCATGGAACTGCTTTTGGCTTATATCTTCAGCGTTTTTCAGAGGTCATGCCTTCACAGATAGTATTCGAAATTAATTTTACTTTAGGCATTTAATAGAGTATGTTCCTTCAGAAACACCTTTGGCTGATACTTTCCTACTTACTGGTGCTCAGAACTGTTGGGGTTTTATCAGATCACCCAAAGACACTTGATATGGAGGACTTGATATCTCCATTGTTTATTACAGCGAAGACACTTGTAAAGCGTTTTGAAGCAAAGGTGGGTTAAAGTTTTTAGTTAAGATTTTGCGTATACTTTATGTGATTTTGTCTCTGTAGTTCATTATATTTTTCTTTGAGGATTACTCATGAAACATGTTCACCTATTACCATTTGTTTATCTCTTTATTACCATCTTAAGCTGCTGAGTGAATTCTCTTTGAAGTTTTGCCTTAATATGCAGAAGCAATTTAAGTCTGTGGTTGTGGCCTTTGTGTTGGTTGGTTACAAGTGCATCAGAGAAGCTTTGACAGAGTTAAGCTTTTCAACAGTTTACGACTTTGTAAAGTGCACGATTCCATTGGTGAAGAAACTTGTTGATGGTGAGCATTTGGTACTTGACATTGATGCAATGTAGCTGTTAGTGAACTCGTTCACTTGTGATTAATCATAAACTGAAACCACTCCTGTGGTATTGCCAGTTTTTTCGTTTTGTCTCCTTATGGTCTTGGGGATAACATTTTACTCTCCTATGGCTTGCTTCATTACCTTTTTCCTTAATCAGAAAATGTAATTCTTAAACCTAAAAAAGAAATTACTTAAACTGTGGGGTTAAAATATAGGGGATTTATCTTAGGAATTCCCTTGGCGGAAAATAATGAAGGGAAAGTACCGTTTCAGATAGCACAGGGTGGAAAAAACCTAATGAACTGTTCTAGTATTAGCTTAAACTATGATACACTAGGAGGGTAGAAGTGACAAAGGGCTTTCTGCACTTAGCCTTTCCACATTTTTTGAAATAGATAACGGCTATCTCTTTCTCAGCTAACTAAACTCATAAGTTCATTTGACAGGTCAAACATTGGTCTGAATGACTACCTTATAGGGAAAATTTTAGTTTTTATTATATAACAGATAAATAAATAAGTTCAGTTTGTACTATGTGTTGTTGTGGTGTGTGTCTCTTCTTTCTTTCTATATCTTTTAGGGAAAAAAGCACCATGCTGCGGTGCTTCGATCCTGTTAAGTGAACGTGGTTTCAAATAATAAATGCTCCATAGGAGGCTAATTGAAGTTTGTGTTGCAGACTCTGCTGAACATGGTAATGATGGCAGTCATCTGAGGGCAATTCTGGGAGCTTGTCTGAATGTGATTGCTGATTTGATCAAGGATTGTGTCAAGGGCATTCATCTTCTGGAGAACAAAAGATCCAACTTACGCAAGTTACTGCAATTGAAGCTTTCTTTCTCTATTGAGCAAATGATGTTATTTGCCAAGGTAGTGTATGAAAGTCAACTTCATGGACAAACTGAAGGCAGCCGTACCATTTTTCTTGCTGTGCTCAAGTATTGCACCAAGTATTACCAAACTGTGTTGAATGATTCAAATCTACAGGTAAGCTGATATTCATGCAGGTAATTTTAGGAATGGCCACATTCTTTTCCCAACATTAAAGGGCACCCAGTGAACTGTGTTCTGTACAGGTTCAAGCAATTGGATTGCAAGTGCTCAAAACCATGGCTCAGAGAAGCACCAACATAGAAGACAGTTCTTTCTTCACATTTTTTAGTGGAGAGCTTATTACAAACATTTTCACCATGATCCACACCTCGTTAAAGGTTTTGTTTTTAGTTGCTAATTAAAATTATGACACCTGCACTTCTAAACTTCAATGCTGACATTTTAAACAAGTTATAATATTCCATTGTTCCAGAAACCAGTAAGTAAAGAATCTGTGGCTATTGGTGGTGAGTGCTTGAGATTTCTAGTGCTTCTACAAACACTTTCAAAATCTAATGAATGTCAGAGATGTTTCATGAATCTGCTTCTCAAAGCCATTGTCATGGTATTCTCGGCATCAGAAGATGATTCCTCTCAGGTTATTAAATCTCAACACCTATTTAAGTCTTAATTAAGAATAGGATTGTCTATATTTATTAACATGACTGCACAATCAATGACAGGAAGTGAGTGATATAAGAACCAATGCTATAAGGCTCGTTTCTTCTCTTGCTCAAATTCCTTCATCAGCAGGCCACTTTAAGGATGTGTTGCTATCAATGCCTGCGTCGCATAAACAGCAACTTCAGGTTACTACATTGATATATTTTCTTTTATTTAGCTTTTTTTGCTGGATTTCTATCATCAATGTCTGCACCTTTTACTTCCACCGTAAGCGTATGGCAACTTCTAAAGCTTCCTGAACCAGATGTGACTTGGACTACAAGCTATTGCATCTCTTTTGAGAGTCTGACTTGTAATGAAAGACGGAATTAGAGTGCCATTCTGTAGCATCAATGGCTTAATTTTTTCAGTCAATTCTTCCTTGTTTTATGGGACACAATTGTTGATCCACTGCAGCATGACTGCCTATGCTTACCTCTCTGTGTGCTCGCATGCACATGGACGTGCATGTTTGCATTTGGAGGGAGTGGCTTGTGTGTGCGTGTGTGCATGTGGACATGCATTTAGGGAGGGGGAGGCTTGTTTAGGCATGAGAGGAAACTAATTTTGAAAGATTTGTCCATTATCAGCAACTCTTGTTCTTGGTCTTAATTCTTAATAATGGTTGATTCTAGTAGTTTGTGCTTTTCCCTTTGGTTAAACTCATTATTTGCACTGTGTTTTCACTAATTCGTCAAAAGAGCCCTCTATTATCAATGCAGTTAAATGAGGTCCTGTATTTTCAATTGATTGAAATTTAAAATACAGTAGCTCAATTGACCGAAGTAATAATAGAGGGTGCTTTTGTATAAATTGGCAAAAACACGGGCAAATAATTGGTTTTACCTTCTCCTTTTCAGTGCTTTTGCCGTGGATATATTAGATTTTTCCTTAGGAGTTTATCATGGAACTTCCTTATTGACCGCCCAATTTCTACTTTCAGGGGGTAATTCGTGCTTCTATGGAACAAGATCAAAATGCATCACCTATGAAACCTATGACATCATTAGAAATAAAATTACAAGTGCCAAAAGATTCCCAAACATCCACATCAACACTGCCAACAGAAGGAAGTCGACACAAAACTTCTACTCCATCATCTCCTGTTCACTCTGACCATGACAGCATGGAACATGACCAAGAGGACGAAGATGACTGGGATACTTTCCAGTCTTTCCCTGCCTCAACAGATGCAGCTGGTACTGTTTCAAAAGCAGAAAGTACTGCAGAAGAACCAGACCTGGTTGAGAAATCTACTTTGGAAAGTGAGTTTGAAGAGTTTCCTACATCCAAACCCATCAACAATGAAATTGATACAAACAATGCCGAGCATCAAGAGGAAGTGATTTCTGATTACCTAGGACATAATATCAGAACCAATCTTCAACTCATAGACGATGTGGCAAGCCATGAGGGTGAAGAGGGAGCTGTGTCCAGCCAAGAGAATAAAGAAATCGCACCTGATCTTAAAGTTTTTAACGATACAGAAGGGTCAATTCAAGTGAATGTAGTGGAAGCCTATGAGCAGACAACACAGAGCTCACGCACTAGTATTGATCATCAATTATCACCAGATGATTTTAAACCTCTTGAAGAGAAAGAACAGGTTGAAGTAAATATAGTGCAGGGCCATGACCAGCTGAAGGTTGCTCCAGATCGGCAAAATGTTACTCTGCATGCAGAAAGGCTTTCTGGACATGAAACTGAGGGGGAAGCAGAGGATGGAGCAAGTATCGAATATGTTGAAGCTGAAAATGCAACTGGTAAAACCGTGGATGAATCTAAGAGCAATGACCAGCAGCAGGATAGCAGTGAGAATTTGGAATTATCAAAATATCAAGATCTGGGGAAAGCAGTCTTGGAATCCAATGAAAAACAGGGGGAAAAACCTGATGAAAATACTATGGACAAGACGGCGGCTGACAATAAGAGCAATGATAGTGGTAAACTAGAATCTGTCAGTGAGATTGACAGAACATGAAGTACTTGTTGCCATAGATGCAGATTTTTGTGTTTAAGCCTTCCTGTGACTTGAAGCCTAGGAAGGCTATTGATTTTTATTCTATTAATTTTTAGATGAGGGGTTGGCTTTTAATTTCTTCATAGATGTCCCGTTCAATACTGAGAAAGTGCCAAGTGGCTTGAGTTCATGATGCTTGATAGTAGTTTTGGGTGAAGTTCACCACCTTAATGCTTGATCTAATTATATTAAAAAATTGTATTTCCTTTGATGAAAAAGAAAAATGAGTTAATAGAACAAATGTGTAATGTTACGTAATTTGATTTTCTTTTTTCTGCTCTCTTTTCGTTTGCAATTCGCACTTGTTCTCCGGGGAAAAAAAATAATAAATTAGGCTTAAGGTGATGTTTTACCCTCAGAACTTAGAAGGTTAATTTTACAGGGGTAATGGATTGATGGGATTTAGGACTGAGAAGATAAAAATGTGCTTAGTGGTGGTTAATAATAGAATTAATCTGTTATATAACAATTACTGACATGCAATTATCTCCGGTATTGTGAAAACTAACCAATAATCTGTGATGGGAATGAGATAAATATTGTGGTACATCTTCATAATTGTAAAACTGACCACAGCAACAGACGAATCAGTTCACTGTGTGTTCACCCTATGGAAGTGCTGCAAGTGCAAGACTCAAGTCTCAAAAACATCACATGAACGACTTCCAATTTATCTACCCGTGGGACTCCTTGCGTTTTATTAAGAAAAGTTAAAGAGTGATGGTGTTACATGATATGACAAAAAATTTGGTCAAATTATGCATAAATTGAGTAGCTCTTTTTATGTCCATGGAGTACAAATAATCATGGATTATTAGAATGCCAATATATTTTGTTCAAACAAAACGTAACTGAGATGCATAAATATTTATCACGATGAGTCAACACTTTTATATTAGCCAAGAAAAAAACAATGCAATGAGAGGATCATATATTAAATTACATTATTATTATTTAAATTGAAAGTAAATTGTGTAGCTTAGCCAACATCCATTAATTAAGGTACACCATATCTATCTACACAGAATATGCTTAAAAGTGTTTTTCCACGGAAAAAAAAAAAAACCATATTGATGTTTGTTAATAATTTTAAGAGGATGTCAAAAACAATCAAGAAGCATAGAAAAAAAAAAATCAATTTGATGTGTTTTCAGTAAAAAAAAAAAATAAATAAATAAATAATAAAATAAATAAATAAATTTGAACAACATTATCAAATACACATTAAGGCTTTTTTAAAAAAAAATCAAAAGAAAAAAATAAATTTGATATATATATATATATATATTACCCATAACAAACAAAATTGTTGCGAAAGTGCAAAACATATTCATTAGCAAATAACGTTCAAAGTGTATAATAGAATTAATGTTTCATTTTCTTTAGCAAATAACGTTAAAAGTGCATATGTAATAAAAATACTTTGTTTTCTGTTTGTTTTTATTACACCGTACTAGATAACATTTCTCCTTTTCTAACACGTCCATCTCAATCTAATAAAAATTTAAAATCTGTTTTCCTAACCATAATTAATAGTGGAGATGGATGCATTGATTTTGTAAACAATAAATAACTATACTAGATGACATTTTAATTATTTGTGTATTAGGAAAGAATGAGTCTTCGGCAACAATTGTGGAAAATGAGTATGGTAATGGTTCCAAAAGGCTTTGGTCTCAAAACTACCTATCTTTGTAAGAGTCAAAACCAAAGTATCATTAACATCATTATCAAGACAACATCATCGAGACAAAGTTGCTTTACCTGAGCATGATGTTTGCATGGAATAAAAGAAAGAAATTCTTCCAAGCCAACTAAAACATCCTTTACCCTCAACTGTTTGTAGATAGGGATAGGAGAGTAGAAAGATGATTCACAATCAACTTTCATATGTAACGATAATAAATCATCTCTCTAGTTGAATCCTCATATTTCCTATTTAGAAACATAGCCCAAAGACTAGTGCCCTATAAATAAGACCAGGGCAACATAGCTTGAAGAGCTTCCATGACCTACCCTAAACCTCGAATACCCAAACCATCTTTTGTCAAAGGTTTGCAAACCCGACACAATGATGCCAATTCTCTCTAGAAGAACTCCATAAAAAATAAAAAATAAAAAATAAAAAAAATTGACATTATACTCTCAATTCTTTATATATTGACTTCGGGATAAAAAATTATGGCCAAAACATGGATTGGGATGCTAATAATCATCGATTTAAGCAAGGTAATATGAGTCCCAAATGATAAAAGTTTGGTCTTCCAACCCCTAGGCCATTGTTAATTTTCTTTTAAGCAATGAAAATATAGTCATCAAATTTGCCCAACAAAAAGAGGAACCCCTAAGTATTGCATGGAAAATTGAAAGTTACTACAACTTGTCCGTTACTTAATGAAAGTTATTTGGCTTATAGACACATATTTTGGATTGTAAAAATCAATTTTAGTCGTATTCCGAAGTTGTCCCGAATATGCTTTATATCTCCCGGTTTATGTTCGAATATGTAACGTGCATCTCTTCGAACCATTCGTGAATAGCAACATGTCATCTACATAAAACAAGTGAGAAATAAACAAAGCCCCTCTTCCCATATCGTATAGCTGAATATTCCTCAAATCTAGTAGCAAGTATTTTAGATACGATTCTACAACAAAAAATTGATAAGCTAATTGGCCGAGGATCACTAAGATTAGTGGGATTATCAACCTTTGGGATAAGGATAAGAGTAGTGGTTGACATACATTTATGGAGATGCCCTCTTTGAAAAAATCCTTCACCATTGCCACAACATCATTTTGAATGAAATCCTAACATCCTTGATAAAAAATTTCGTGAAGCCATCCCAACCCGGTGTACTAGAGGGATTCACACCTACAACTCGCCTCTTAAACTTCCTTCTCCGAAGGGATTGTTGTTAAATGCTCATTAATAGTTTTCAAAAAGCCCTTAATTAATACCCGAAAATAACTCCTTATGAATGTCAACGTGAGGCTACGAAGGAAATTGTGGGCAAGATGGAGTTGCCACCTAACTAATCAAGGAGAAATAAGAAACCCTAAACATATTGGTCTGCAAGGATATTTATGTAAAGAATCGGTTATGTAAGGAGAAAATATAACATCACTACCATCCAGATCCTACCTAAGGTAGGTCTGTATTGAATGTATGTGAAATTTTTTTTTTTTTTTACTATGTTATGCTTCTATGCCTATTTAAATGAGTTTATTTTGTTAGGATGTAAAAACATATTAGTTTGGGGTTTAGGTCGGTCTAAGGCCAATACTTTTACTTAGAGAGGAAAGGTGAGAGAGATTGAAATTTTAGCTAATCTTTAACAAACATGGCATATACTAACACATAGGTGAGTTTCTAAAGATTGATATCCTTTATTAACATAAATAGAAAATCATCAACAACTTTGCTTACACGAGTGGGAAGTAGCTATCAATGTATGATCATGAGTTTAGAGAGCCATCAAAAACTTCATCACAAAAGTAAAAACAAATATCGATAACTTCATTTGGCTCGAGCAAGAAGTAGATAACTAATTTAAAAGTCACTAGTAACTTCGTCATATAAGTGAAAAGCCACTAGTAGCTTATTTTTCGACGAATAGAACACGAAAAAAATGATGTCAAAATCATTGATAGATTTTCTCACATAAGTGAAATGTTATCAATAATTTTATTTCCATAAATATTTTTGGAAGAAAAACGATTTTGGGGCCACCGGCGACTTTGTCCACATAGATGGGAGGTCAATAGTGGCTTGTTTTGTAACGAACGGAACATGTGTAAAACGATATCAAAATCATCAATAGCTTTATCACATAAGTGAAAAGTTACTAATAAATTCATTTCCATAAATAGTTTTGGGAGAAATATAGTTTTAGGGTCACCGACGGCTTTGTCTACATAGGCGAGAAGTCATTGGTGGTTTATTTTCTAACGAACAAAACATATGCAAAATGATTTCAAAATAATTGATGGATATTTCACATAAGTGAAAAGTTATCAATAACTTTGTTTCCCTAAACATTTTTAGAAGAAAAATGATTTTGGGGCCACCGGCGACTTCGTCCATACGAGTGGGAAGTCATCAAAGCCGGTGGTCCAATTTTTAATGAACAAAAAAAATGTAAAATGATGTTGAAATCATCAACAACCACAAGTGAAAAATTATTAATAACATTTTTTTCATAAACAATTTTGGGAGAAAATGGTTTTGGGGCTACTCGGTGGCTTCATCCACATAGGTGGGAAATCATTGATGATTTGTTTTCTAACGAACAGAATACATACAAAATGACTTAAAAAATATTAAAAATTTGATAATATGCTTTAGATATGACTACTACACATTTAGGTGCATTGTAACCAAACATGCCAAATCAATCAAACCATAAAAAAGGCACAACCCGGTGCTAGAAATACAAATATTTAAATGGCATAATTCATTCATGATCATGATTACAACAACATTAATTTCTTTTCATATTTAAGCAATGAATATATAAATGAAATGAGATAGTTTTTATTGAAAATTTAAAGGGGTAAAATTATTTAGGAGCCTCGATTTGAGGGTCGGTTCTACTCTCTTCATCCCCAATAATAACCGATTGTTTAGTTAGTCAAGGAAGGAGAGCAGTTGTGCATTGCCAAAATATTATATAAGTCCTACTAAGGTGACTAAATGTTACTTCAAAATCACTAAAGTAGTCAAAGTTACTACTGCTTATCAAAGTTACAACAAATTTGCCAAGGTTATCTACAAATTTGATAGTATCTTTGAAAATTTTCAACTTCTTTGAAAACCGCCAATGTTGCCATAACTTAAAGAGCCTTGATAACAAAGTAGTTGTTGTGTTTTTTCTATCAAAAATAAACACAAATGCAGTTTATAACATCATATTGTTCCCGCCAAACTCAATCATCTAAAAAATATTTTTTTTTATGTTT